AGTGTGCAGATAGGTTGGACCAAGATTTCCAAATGAATCGCGACTTCCATGATCTTGAAACCAGCCATCGCCCGAATATCGTATGGAATTGTCCGTATCGTCGACAATTATTCTTCGAGGATCTTTAGGAATGGTGGACATGGACTCGTGGTGATCCAGTGGTAGCTCTGGGCAGCTGAAAAAATTCACAATGGATGCTACCCTATAGTGACTAAGGATCAAGGACGAAAGATAATCTTGTATGTAAGTTGAGATTGGACAGTTGGTCCTACATGCGCACTTTATATTAGTCGTTCAGATGGCTGTGGAAACCAACGATGCTGTGCCTCAACCAGTGGTTTAACTAAGTTTCTCCCCATCAGTGCTGATGATTAGGACGTGATTAGGCGTTCATTATAGCTCTCGCGTGAGATGTGTTACTTACAGCTCGTCGACGCCGCCCAGCAAACCAACTTGCCTTATCTAATCTAATCTACTGTCACATGCACGTGTTATCACTATAATATCTCTCTCTGTTCTTCAAGCCTTCAGGCGACAGCTAACATCTTCCATCATCTGGAGCTCCGAAATGGCCTCTGGGGTGGCTGGTAACCATTCCTCCCAGCCTCAAGATGTCGTTCATAGGCTGGTGCGTACGCTAAGTGGAAAATCGGATCCACCATCTGCGGTAGCCTTGCAACGGAGCTCGAGCGCTGCTAGTCAAAAGCGACGCCTTAGCATTTCTGAGCGTCTGAAGAGTATTGGTAGGGATATCGGAAAACTCAGCAAGAAGAACAATGGAAGGTCTGCGGAAGTCAGCTCTGTGCCAACGACGCCCACAACTCCACGAATATCTCTAGCGGAACCAGGGCCATCTCGCCTCGATACGCCCGCAGTACGCTCTCGGAATCATGTACAAGATCTGAGCATGGTGGCAGAAGAAGCAGGTGCAACCAATTCAACTGGAAATACTACTCCTCGAGGAGACGACACGCCTGAACCGACGTTTCTCGCACGCAAAATCCAAGCTCTCATTGACTCCTTGCCCAGCAGTAATCCGCCTCCTGATTCTCCACCACGTCGAAAACCCATCCCCAAACCGCAGCCCCCAAAACGAGACAAGAACGGACGTCCGATACCGCCTCCAGATGCGACGCCTGTCAAGGACTCGCGGCTACTGTCGTTTCTACAGAGTGCAACGATCATGAATGGAGGAAAGGCGGGACAGGACAGGGGTGAGGGGAGGCAGAGTATTTGGAGTATCCTCGAGAGCCTGGGGGCACCAAAACATGAGGAAGAGCGGCAGGACGGTGATGAAGAGAACGGCGGTGAGGATGAGGGAGGCAGCGTATTCTCGGACGGGGCGAGTGTGATGGTGTACTCACCGCTGATACCCACGAAGGAGGACCTCGTCGAGCTGGCGGAGAGTGTGCCAGTGACAGTTGAGGAGGTTGACGTAAGAGAAGATGCGAATGCGGGCCAGAAAAGTGGAATGACCTCGCTGTTAAGCGGGTGGACGACGTTCTGGCCGTTCTCCGCTTGGTACGGCCAGGTGCAGAAGGATGAGGAGCAGCAAACCACTGCTGCAACACCTGCTGTTGAGACGGAAGAAGCCCGACAGGAAGTCGACGCCGTTCGCCAGCGTACGATATCCAATACCTCTCAGCATCGAGTTGCGCGTACTCAGACGCAGCAGTTGTGGGTTCCTTCCCGCACCAAACTCTCTGTACAAGCGATGTGGTGGGGGTATCGATTGTACGTTGCTATACCTATATTCTCATTCATTCGCTGACGTTATTCCAGATATCTTCCACCACCGATTATGGATATCCTATCAGACAAGCAGCTTGAGGCTACGAAACGCGCGGCGATGATCACCACCGCTCTTACTTGGTTCTTCAATAACCTTCCTCTCTCTGCGTTGCCAGCAGCGGTACGACCTGCTGTCATGTTGCTGCAAGGCATCGCCCCATATCTCGGATATATAGGCACATTCATATCCTGGAGTTGGAGTACGATTAAGAGCTATGACCTTGGTGAGCCTTAGTCATCCTATTCCTTCATGTATTATCTTAACTCGTTTATTTGTTTCACAGGTTACGGTGTGATCCTAACTGCTACGTGGTTGCTCCCAGTTGCACTCATCCCCGGAACTTGGTACGAGGCTGATTTCCCACAATCGCCTAGCGCGGGTTCTCCTACACCTCTTCCTCCTGCTCCTCTCCCAGCACCGGCACCATCCAACCCCTCTCCAGCTCCTTCAACTCCAGGAACTTTGGATCCAGCGACTCCAGTACCACCATCCTCACCTCCCACCCAGCCTACAGCGCCTCTTGCTACACTACCAATAACCACTCCTGAGTCACCAATATCCCCAACTTCTATACCCCTACCTATAAGCCCACCAACCTTAAGTTCTCCTCTAGGTCCTTCAACACCTGCACTAATACCATCGGCACGACTGCCATCATCCCCAGCGCCAGCCTTCCGCCCAATGTCTAGTGTATTTTCACCATCATCATTCGCTCCAGCTGTCCTCTCCTCGCCGCGTTCACCTCCCAGTCGTTCTCTTCTATTATTCCGAACACCCAAGCCATCGGCAATGGCACTTCCCATAACTCCTCCGTATGAATCTTCCCCTCTCCCGCCTATACCTCAGCAAGCCCAAGTCCTCTCCTCTTCGCCTATCACCACGTATTCTCCTTCTCAGATGCCCACCTCTCCACAGCAACGCACCTACTCTCCACCCACACATTCGCCTCCGGTGCCTATGAACTCTCCTCTCGTGCCGATGTTGCTTCAGAGCCCAGAGATCCCGATGGTAGCGCTTCCTGAAGACGACGCAGAAAAGAGGGACAGGAAGGACGCGAGGAAGAAACGGAAACTGTTCGGACTTGGAAAGCAGTGAGCTAGCTTTACTTACACTCTGGAACTTTGTAGCGTATTTTGGGTCACCTCGTCATGACTTACGACTTTACGACTACTTGACGACCTTGATGACTACTACGACCCCTCACACCACTGGCTTTTTGTAATATACTTGTGTTCCGAATGGACGGACGCTACACACCTATATACCACCAAGCTCTATTTAGCATTTACTTTCTTTTTGAAGATCGGAAAGTAAGGGACCATCGCTTTGCTTTCCTCCGAATGGTTAAGGACCTACAGAAACCCCTAAAACTGTTCCCCTTTCTACTAAACTTCACGTTCAGCCTATCTCCTAACCACTGCTTCCAACATCCTTAAGCTCAGAGATTTCTGCAAGAACATTTCGAACGCTTCCTCAAAAGTCTCCAACTCAAGAGAAAAGTCTAATTGAAGTAACTCTCTCCTCCGTAACTAGCCAAATGCGCATTGTCCCATGTTTCGCTCATTCTCGACGATAATCGGAAGGAGAGTAAAAGGTGCAATGTCCAATAAGCAGTCGCATGAGAATGCTTTCATGGATGCCATCAAAAAATTTCTCGGTGCCAGAGGTGAGAAGTGAGAGCTATGAAGTTTTAGTAGCTAATTCTTTTGACTGAAATCTCGCATGCTAAGTAATGATCTATCTACTTCGAACTAGATGTACTCGATAGCGGTGAGTATATGTAACATTTCTTTCCCTTCTAAGGGAATCTACACGCCAGTTTGTAACACATCTTCAAGTGCTCAGGCCAGTCGTTATATATTAAGATACAGCATATAAACACTCACATATTACTATGTCGCTAGACTCCTTAGTCTTGATCCACTTGATCTCACTAGCTGTTTTCTACTGCTATCCTAATCACTGCATAACGGAGAAGTGGAGGATAAGCTGATTCTAATACTATTTGAATAGGGTAAAAAAAAACATTAGTGTTGGAATATGAGCGCTAAGATTACGAGTGAGCGCGATCCGGACTCCGCCCGCAGTCATACTTACATTTTTGTGGCTGCGTTAATCATTTGATATATATCTAAGTGTGTAGATATTTCGTATATAGGTAGAGTACATTCGAGCATGTGCACTATCCGTTTGCCTCACGAGCTCACCGAGGCCAAACGTTTACTTCGCTTATTTCAACAATTAGCAGGAAGGATATCTTCATTAAGTATCAGTGGTTAAGCTGCTTTGCTTGAGAATTTATGTCTGGACCCACGTAGCTTTCAACAAATTGGGAATACAGGTGAGTACAGTTGTAACGTCTGAGGAAAATGGAACGCGCTGGAATCGCACGCAGCGCAACTTCCGTTGGACTATCCGTCCCATTATACCATCAACATTACAGGTTCTATAGCACCGTTACTCCGGGTGACAAGGCCGGGTCTGCCGTGCTCTATTAGAAATCGTAGCGTCGCTACAACAGTATACTCGTGCCTAAAAAAAGTAACCGTGATTATGTAAGTCTCGTACGTGCGTGATATTGAAAGAACAGCTGCAGTTTACAAGGTGCACAGTGGTCATACAAGGCTTTAATTTCTCATATACACTGAAAATTATCTTGAGTATCTGTAATTAAATTTTAATGGCATTAGATTGTGCTCTCTGTGTTGTAGATGCCATTTAGTGTCGGTGAGGAGGGCAAACGCAAATTACATAATCACGGTTACTTTTTTTAGGCACGAGTACTACCGTTCCTTTACACTGCACCAAAGTAAGACCCCTGATTTGTATTGTCCAATGGCCCTTTTTCACACGGAAAAATATATCACAATATACTAAAGCATCTTAAATGTCTGAAACTAATTTTATGCATGGAAAGAGTATAACATGGCATAGAATAAAAGGAGAGAAATTGATGTCTCGAAAACAAGAAAGCTGATGACTTTACAAGTGCACACCGTAACACCCGTAGGACTTTTCGTGACAGTTGCGTCTCTCGATCACTTGATGCGGTTGGTGTGACTCCTCGGGAATCTCGGATGCTGATGTTGATGATAGTCCAGTGCGCTTCCTACTCGGTTTTTGAGCAAGTGCATGCACAGATTAATATCTTAAGTTTCAAAAAAAAAAAAACTCCAACATATTAATGCTTATCATGAACATGGTATAAGCCTTCTTGGCTCAGTTGGCTAGAGCGCAGGTCTCATAGTCTATGCTATGCGTGGTCGGATGATCCACACAATCCTGAGGTCGCAAGTTCGAGCCTTGCAGAGGGCATTTTTTTCTCCTATTAACATCTAGGAGTAAGTAAAAAGGTGAGGAGCTGGATATTATATATTCATGTGCTTTGACGCGCATATTTCGTCAAGATGTAGCGTGATTTAACACATACCAACAAACTTCACGGTGTTATAGTAAGAATTTGAAAGAATCATTTTACATTTCAATAGTCTCAACAGTAGATCACCCTGTTCTATTGGTGATTTATGTATCAGTTTACAGCATTTGAAGGAAGTATAGTAATACTGGTGAAAGGCTGTCGGGTCTCGGCAGCCTCACTGAATCAAACATAAGTTGACAGGATAAGAATATCTTCGCTGCCAGTAGTAAGAATGGGTACATGTCATAGATAGGATGGAAATACGCACCTTCGTTGCCAGTAGTAAGAATGGGACAACGAAGGTGAAAAGCGCAGTCTTTTATAGTGAAAAAATGGTGAAAAAGAGCGGAAAAGGAAATGCGGAACAGTAGGGTTTCGCTTGAACAAGGAGGAGTGGAATGGTAATAGGAATAGCCGAGCGAATGAGGAAAGGGGCGCGCGCTGGATGTGTCGATGGCGCGCGTGTGTGTCGGTGGTGAGTCTGGTTTGAGCCGGATCTGTGAGGGCCAGGCTTACAACTGGCGGTATTTCAAATTTTATGCAATTCTTGGTGAATATTTTTATAGATCCATACTATGGATCTATAATAATACTCGACATACAGCATGAAATACAGTTTGTTAGACTTTGAAATCACACGAACAGAGGTTATTTAGTTCGCTTGATGCATCATTTGTGCTTTAATTATTAGTCAATGTATTTTGCTGGACTATATGCATTTTTAAGCTCTCTTGAATATGGGTAAGGGGAATCTATCAAACAGAAATATAAGCTTTTCTTTATGTGATACGATAAGCTTGACTTTATGTGATACGATAAGCCTGACTTTATGAATACAATAAATTTCAACTGGTCTAATTTTGATATTAGGTAGATTGTCCGGTTCCTGGTTCTAGTGCGATGTAATTGGTGTAGCCGACTCTTGGGCAAATACTAAAGACCCAATATGGTTATTCTCTATATGATCTCGTAAATGGGGACGTTCATTTAGCCTGTGGGTCAAAGGTAGAAGATCTTAGTTGAGACATTATAAAACAAAACTATACATCCTACATTATGACTGTGAGAGTTACAACTATGTGAATAATGAACAACCGATATGACATGGAATACGCACATGTCGTCATTGCATAGAGCTGATACAATATCAAATGCAGTGAAATCCTAAGCGTGCACATTAGATGAACATAAAAAGCCAGAGATAGGAGACATTGTAATTCGTACACAAAAAAGTTCTCTTGTGACTGATTCAGATACACAATCAGGTGGCCAATCTGTAATACACTTAGAAATGCCCCGCGAGTGATCGAATATAAGAACAGCCTTTTGATCACGTCAATAACTCCTACGCTATTTCTCGTGGGCATATGAAAAGACATGTATATGTTTGACGAATACCTTATGGAGACCATTTCAGACTCTCTGAATATGGAACAAAAGGTAGTAGTGATAATTCCTTCAGCGAGTATAGCGAGGCCATGGAAAATCGATACGCAGACCTACCAGCGCAAGTGAGTTACGATTGCAGTAGGTCCAGCATAATGGTGTATACCCTGTGAAACTTAGTGTCACTTTGAGCGCTTTCTAAAATGATAAGAGCTTGTGTTTTGTCGTGAGGATATGATAGCTATAAAAAAAAATATGCCCCACAGACAATTGCTCCTATAATCTATGAGGCGGGAATTCTTTAGCAGACAGTTATGGTAGACGAACCAATCATCAAAACTGTAAGGAACATCTGTAAAATGCAAGAGTGCATCAATAATTCCCTGTCAATTTCAGCATCGTATTCTTCCTACTATTAGGAATGGTATTGGACGTCTTTTGGTGACTGCAATTGTGTCATCAGCTCGCCGTTTACGTTATGAAGTCCAAAGAGAACTAACATAGAAAGATACGACTCGCAAAAAAGACATGAACCCTGTAGTAAGTGAATAAGAAGCGCTAAACATCACGGTTAATACAACTTACGAACATGCAAGTAATCCAGACAGCGTAAACGAAATTCCGACTAGACTATGCTGCATGTTAGTGAAATTGTAGTTATCCTATAAAACTACTTGCCGGTTAACTTCGAGCAAAGTTGATTTGGCATCACTTGCTGTTTTAGTCTAGAGGAAATTGTATCGCTGAGAGAATTCTATCAGTTATAATTGAAAATACCGATAGTATTAGCAGTGTCCGAAGAATGGCGACCCCAGAAGCGGCCAATGTTACAGAGAGCACACTGAAAATGATGTAAACATTTATCTAACTGTGAGTGGCGAGGATAGTACAAAATGAAAGAGACCTGATTTGGACATTTATAAGCAATTCGGTCGACCTTAAATAAATAAATTGATTCGATATACCAATATTCTTAATTTCCAACTATCAGAATTTTGCCGGAAGTAATTCCATCCAAGAATTAATGTGCATCCCAAAAGCCTAGTAGTATATATAGTATTAGCCATGTTTTCTGAACGCTGGTAACGGGAACGGAATAATATACATCGCCGATACCAAAAGACCTATTTAATTACCAGTATTTCAGTCAGTCCAAACCTCCATCGGGGGTATACAACACAATGCTCACCGTAAAGGAAACCATCCGACAGCGTGTAGAAAGAGAATGCCATATTAAACTCCTGTGTCAAATAGCCGCGGAAGAGATGAAGTTGGGGGCTAATAGCTTGAGCCAATCTGTATTATACCTTTTAACATTGTACGAGGGTATTGACACAACGTTGCAATTGAGATCATCCATACTTCATAGTACGATCAACTCGGCAAATTCTGCAAGTTGGATGAATCTCCACTACGGTCCGTCGACCGTGCCATTGATTTAGATACGATGGAATGTAGCCTTTTCCGACCTGTTAGGAAATAATAGGTAATAATCAACCCATGCCTGCTGGCGACTTGCTCGTGGCCAAATTCCAATTGAATGTAATACTTGAATGTTGACTACGGCGGCATGAGCTTGTACAGGGTCCTACAGTGTAGAACGGTCAAAGTTGATCTCTTGGCACCCTGAATTTTGATTACCTATTTTCGTTAATAAAACTAGTCAGAAAAGTCCGAAAACTATCAGAATCGACTCAGTTTAATGAGAGCTTTCGGGTGAACTGAGCTTTATCTTGAAATTCCAACTTTTTCAAAAAAAAAAAAAAAAAATTTCTCAAAAGTAGATTTATATACGGATGCCCGAGATCAGCGATCCAAAACGTGGTAGCCTCTCTCTCGCGTCGTCTCAAGCACTTTAACCGTTTGCTGTACTTTGATCCTATTACATATTCTCGCAGATCTCGCAGAGCGATGCCAAGAGGGCCGCTTCTGGGAACCTGGGCTTGGCCCTGAGATGTCACTTCTTTGTGATAGGCACTGTACGCCCCGTTGCTGTGGAAGCTCTCAAACTCTCAACTACACAAAAGTTGGGGCTTCAAAATGCTCGATATATACACCAATTGTGGCTTCCCATCATCTAAACTCCTGAAACTGACCTTGAAGACCTCTCCCGTTCATCATCTCTTCTCTTGCAACGATCCGCTCTATAAATTAACGGTCTTGGAAGCAACGGTATCTAAAATGGAACAGACAGGTGTAATTTGTGGCCGATATTTATATGTAAGCACATCGACATGGCTGTGGACCTGCCAAGACACAGACAGATGCATTCCGGCCTTTTCAGAATTCCCGAATATGCAAGCCCTCGGGTCGACTTGGGATTTATCTCCGTACTGGCGTTTTCAGCGAGCGGTAACATGCTGACGAATTGAGTAACTGCGTATGTGCGTTAAGAGGGAGGCGGAACAATCTCTCCATCATCATTTAAAACAAATTTTACGAAATTCTTGGTGAATATTGCTATAGATACATTGTGATCCTCGATATACAGCATGAGATGTGGTTTGCTAGACTTCAAAATCATACAGACAGAGGTTATTTGCCTTGCTAGTAGTGCTTGATGCTCCATTTGTATTTTAGCTTTTACTTGATGCATTTTGCTGTGATAGTCTGAGGGAAAGCGTCACAGTCATTTTTAGGCTCTCTTGAATACAGATATACAAGCATTTCTTTATGTGATACAATAAGCTTGACTTAATAAATACAACAGATTTCAACGGATCTAATTTAAATGTTGGATAGACTATGCAGTTTCTGATTCTTGGTGTGATGTATTAAGTGTGGCAGGCTCTTGGACAAATACTAAAGACCCAATATGGTCGTCTTCCATACGATCTCGTAAATGGGGACGTCCATTTAGCCTGTGATTCACAGATAGAAGATGTCAGTTGAGGCATTATCAAACAAAACTATACATCCTACATTATTACTGTGAGAGGTGCAACCACGTGAATAAAGAAAGAACAGCCAATGCAATATAGAATACCCACATGTTGTGATTGCATAGAGCTGATCTAATATTAAATACAGCGGAACCCTAAGTTTACGCCTTAGATGAATATGAAAAATGCCATAGATAGGACGTACGCAAAAAACTTCTCTGTTGGCTGATTCAGATACATAATTAGATGGCCAATTTGAATTACACCTAGAAGTGCTCCGCGAGTGATCGAATATAAGAACAGCCTTTTGACAACGTCGATAGTTCCTGTGCTATTTCGCGTGGGCATATGGAAAAATATGTATGTGTTTGACGAATACCTTACGGAGACTACTTTAGACCCTCTGAACATGGAACAAAAGGTAATGGTAATAATTCCATCAGTGAGTATAGCGAGGCCATGGAAAGCGGATACGCAGATCTACCAACGCCAGTGAGTTACGATTGCAGTAATTCTGGGATAATGGTGCATACCCTCTGAAACTTAGTGTCACATCGAGCACTTCCTGAAATGATAAGACCTTGAACGAATGAACCTAGATCACCAGTCCATTCTATTCGTAAGGATAT